ATTATGTACATTTCAAGTTTTTTACTGTGTTTTTAATTCATTTTTTAAATTCATTTATTTTTAATTGACGTAATTTGACTCACTTTGTTTTTGTATTGTTGAGATTTGATTTGATTTGTTTTAATGATTTATTCCAGACATGTCAAATTCATTGAATCTATATTACTCAATATACCCTTTCACATATCTACAAAACAAGAAACCTTTTAGACTAATTACACACAAATAAATAAACCCATAAAATAATACACACACATTTGGATGTGCACACACACCAATCTGTGTACACACATCCAAATACATACACTCACATAAAGCACATAAATCACATTAACATGTCTGAAAAGGGGTAGGAAGAAGAAAACTTATTTAATCCTACCCCTATTCACCATTTCATCTGGTTTTAAGAATATTATCAGTTTGTGATGAAAATAAAACCAACAACAACAAAAAACAAATAAAATACCTATATAATATAATACATAAAGTAATCCAAAATTATTCTAACACTAAATTTCAAGTTATATATTCACATCCAGAGACAATCACATCCAACTACACACTAATGCTTATACACACATTTACATTCAAATACCCAGCACCTCTCCATGCACCCATCATCCTACACCAAAATCACCCCAGTCCAGTCTTCCCCAGCACCCCAAAATGCCAGTGCAAGCACTATATAATTTCAACCCATTTATAAAAATCAAAACTCAACACAGAGGGACCAAGTTTACCCCAGATTATCATTCTTATACTTGTCAAAAATCATTAGCCTTAGTGTTAAACAAACTCATGTTTGGACATTGCTTCAATTCTTGATTGAGTTTATTCCAAACCCTTACACCCCTGACAGAGGTGCACATTCTCTTCATAGAGATAAGAGGCTTTGAAATATTTTTCCTTCCAAAAGTGGCGTGGCACAAAAAAGTATGAGAATCACTGAATATGATCACTTTAATAAAATCAATACAAAGATATCTTGAAGACCACCACCATCACTTGTATTTTACTTATCTTCCTAAAAACATGAATCAATTCTCTCATTTTTGTCCTGATTTCACTACATAAAGAAAAAAATTATACACACACTCAAACACACAACTGTGTCCATCTATCTATACATTGATTTCCATTCATTTCTAGAGCTTGACCCTGACAATTACATACCTAACCCTAAACCTAACCTAAACTCAATTCCCACCTTGGACCCAAACCAAACTCCCAACCCACCAATGGCATTTTTCCAAATGGGGGCAAGGTTAAGGTTCCCATAAGTACCAGTTGGTCCCCACATGTACTGTATGTGTGTAGTCTAAAAATGGCCCCCATATAGTAGGAAACACCCCCCCCAACCACACACACACACACACACACACACACAC